CAGCCCACAGAAGGCAGCGGAGCAGGCGGCAGAGAACACCGGGACTAGACGACATGGCATCCAGCAATGTCCGGGACCGTGTTTCGAAACTCCGCCCTGAAAGCCCAGAACTCCCCCAAAGAAACCCCGAAAACGCCAAGCCCTAAACCCAGTTATTCCGAAAATACTGTTGTCATTACTGATGTGGTTCGATTATGGTAAGCAACGAAGAAGCCTGAACGATCTTGATGTCACATATAGGAGCAGAAAGGTTCCTTACTATGTTTATAGTAGAATATACCCCAAAACCCTATTCGAGTTATTAAGGCCCCTACATGAATTAGTTCTAACGACTAAGCCCCCCCCCTCCCTCATGGCTGTTGGGAGCACTGGGATCATGACGAGTCTGCACCAGGCTACCACACCGTGGAGCAGAGGTCGGCGGGAAGAAGGGCAGTCCTTGCTTCGATTCTGGTTTCTTACGGTTTACGGTTGGTTTAGGGTTTAGGGTTTAGGGTTTAGGGTTGGGGGGAGAGTTTTTATGGTGGAAGCCATAAGCCCTAGATTCGTCCTGTTTAGTGGCTTGCGTTTTTTGGAGAACGGGGGTAGGCGGCTATACGGCATTTGAGGAAGAATCTTGTCGTTCGCGTCGTCAGGTGTCCCTTTAAACCGTATATGGCCCTTAACCTAAACCCTAAACCCTCAACCTGAGCTCGAAGCATTGAACTCCCAGAACACAAAATCCCCCAAGAAACGCAGAGTGCCCAACCCTCAACCTCTTTCAACTTCGAACCTTCTACCCCTGCCCCCAATAAAGCCCCTAAAAGCCACGTGAGCAAGCCTTAAAACACGAAGTCATAATCCCCAATGTAGCTACGAACCCCGACACCTACGAGTCCCACACCCAATAAGCCTGGGTTTAGGGTTTAGGGTTTAGGGTTTAGGGTACGTGCGAGGGGGGTCCTTCCTGGACTCTTGTTAGGGAAATCATGTTAAGAAGTATGGTTTCCGTATTCTTGTATCTTAAATTCAACTCTTCGACAAGAACACAGGTTTACCCATAGGCCCCATAGTAGTTCCTTTTTGGGATTACCTTATAGGATTCTAAACATGAACCCCAGAAAGGAACTACTATGGGGCCTATGGGTAGAGGCTGGAACAGTTATAGAAACCCTGATAACCCTAAACCCTAAACCCTGAAAACCCTAAACCCTAAACCCTAAACCCCTAAACCCTAACCCCTAAACCCTGAACCCTAAACCCTAAACCCCTAAACCCTGAAAGCAAGCCCCGAGCCGGGCCCCTTCAGGTGTCCACGGTTCTGCCTGGCTCACGTTGCGCGGACCTGTCGCCAGGACGGAGAGGGGCTCAACGGCCGGCTTTGTGTCTAGAGGGCTTTTGGATTTCAGGGTTGTAGGTTGTTGAAGGTTTAGGGTTTAGGGTTTAGGGTTTAGGGTTTAGGGTTTAGGGTTTAGGGTTTAGGGTTTAGGGTTTAGGGTTTAGGTTTGGGGTTTATTGGGTTTAGAGTGTTTTAGATTTAAGATTTTGCGGCTTAGGGTTTAGAATCTTCTGTTCTCTTGAAGAAGGACCGGTTGAGGCTCAGGTTGTGTGCTTAGCTTAGCTTCGTAGGGCTCTGGGCTATCAAGCCTAAAGCCTTACACTTTTAGGGTTTAGGGCTTATAGGGTTTATAAGGTTTATAGGGCTTATAGGGCTTATATAGGGTTTATAGGGTTTATAGGGTTTATAGGGTCTAGGGCCTAGGGTTTAGGGTTTCAAGCTTCAGGTTCAGATCCCAGACCCTTGGAGAAGCTGGCCCTGGGACACCCTGTGAAGTTGGCCCTCAAGCTCAATATAGGGGTCTTAATAATTACCTATACTATTTTGGGGGTTCCTTTTTCTAATGGTATTATAATATACCCTAATGATTACGGCCCCTACAGTAGATTTCAGGGGATCAGGTCCAGAGCAAGGACTACGTAGAGAAACCGAGGTACCATTAAAGGGACATACCCGTCAACTCCCTAAACCCGAAACCACTCAAGAACCCTTGAAAACACCCTTAAAGCACCCCTGACAAATCCAGTCGAGTTTTTGGAACCGGGGCATGTCCAAGGGCGGGTGCCTGAAATAGAGTTGCATTGGGAGCCCCAATTAAAGAGCACAGCAACTTGCGCAACTCATGCTGGTAATATAGTTGCCCTGAGGCTGTGAATGGGGTTTTGGATTGTGTATAGGTGTATGCAGAATGTTAGGGACAGAATCTTTCAGGCCGCTATAGTATTACCCTAGGTTCCTGCGGCTACCCGAAATTGAAAGAGCCGCAAAGCAGCAGATGAAGTCGCTGCGCAGGGTTTAGGCAAAGCCGTTCCAACGATTCTGGGGCTAAAGGTCTAGGCGAGGGCAGCTTCGCAGCAAGGGCTGAGTTCAGAAGGGGCTACACCCCTAAGCCCTAAACCCTAAACCGCCACAGTAACCCCCAAAAGCCTACTTCAGAAGGGGCTTACAGGAGGGTTAAGGGGCCATCCCGATTCCGTCAGAATGCGAGCTTTCTATCGCATCTACTGAATCAACCGGTGTGGTTGCTACACGAAAAACCTGTAGGATGATGATGATGATGATGATGATGATGATGATGGCGGTGATGTAGAAGGAGTCGTCGTCGTGGCAGAAGTATTAAACACCTACTAGTATTAACTATATGATTTATACATAAATCCCGAAAGAGAGTCCACCGCTGCACACAGGCGCCATGCAGGTAGGTGCAGCAATCCATCTTGCTTTCGACGTGCTCGGCACTCGGATATTAACGGACTCGAGGGTTAGGGATCAGTGTTGAGGATTTAGTTGGTCTAGGCGTCAACCGAGAGTCATTGAGCCTGTAAACCCAGAACGCCCCCGATGTTATCCTCGCAGAAGTCTGATTCGATATCTATAACTACTCCTGAGGGCTCCTTATTGAACTTATTGTATGTATACCAAAATAACCCCGAAACCATATTGCGAAACCACGAAGGCCTCGATATCAGCTGCTACTGTTAGTAACATCCTATGGCCCTCCCGAGTTTTTTCTTCGTACTCAGAGGTTTCGGCTCTTTGGTGTTCATAGGTACGACTGCGGCCTTGAAAAACTCTAAACCCCTGGCCCTAAACCCTGGGGATTGGGGTTTGGGTGCCTAAGGTCCGAAGCGTGATATCTCTAAAGCTCTAAAGCCTAAAGTAGTTTCAGACTCTTGCTGCTTTGATCAAACAATCTGAGTAGAGGCTTCGGTTTGCAGTCGCGGGCTTCGCGCTGGCACAGCTGAGCCCCAAGAATCTAAAGCCCTAAGCCCTTTCAACACATCTAAACACTAAGCCCTAAACCCTACACCCTTTGACAGGACAGGAGCTTCTGATGTGAATAGCAGGGGTTGTTGGTGGACTTGTTGTACTTGGGTATATGTAGATATCTGCAAAAAGGTATCCTGCGGTATAGGGTATAACTACAGGGTTGAGGGTTTAGGGGATCATCACCAACTCTTGAGACCTCTGGATGTTCTACTCCCTGTGCAGGTTATTGAAGCGCCAGCAAACAGGATCCCCAAAAAGAGCTCTGAGTAATGCAGGGGCTTAATCAGTAATTTACCTATACTATTTTTTGCAGGGGGTTCTTATTATATCTCTAGCATAATATTCCCCCAAACCCTATTCAAACGATTGAGGCTCCTATATTACACTCCACTCCCGTCTACCCTAGTCTCTAAGCCGATCCCTAAGGCATAAACTCCAGGGCCCGAGCCCCTTACACAGCCTAAACCCTCAGGCCCTATATAAACTCGAAGCCCCTATTATACACCCCTAAACCCCCAACTTTAACTAAACCCCTATATAAGTCAGAACCCTCCACCCTGAACCTCCAACCCTCAACCCTCGAATCATGGTGGAAGAACCTGAATCCCTAAACCCTTGGTTTAGGGTGCCTGCTTTTCTATACAAGAGCTCCTACCCATAAAATAGAACCAGGCACCCCAAAAGCAGGTTGGGTATGAGCCTGGGCAATACTTAAACGCAGTTCCTTTATGGGAATCCCTAATAGAATTCTAAATATAAGCCACAAAAAGGAACTACTATGGGGCCTATGGGTAGGCACCCCAAGCCTTCATCCCTGAACGCTAAAACCCACACCCTTACCCATAAACCCTATGAGCCGCTAGGTCTAGGACATTTTCAGGTGGGTAGTTACGGTCATAGGAGCCTTATACCTTATAGAAGCCTTATAGAAGCCGTATATACCCTAAACTCCCCACCTGTAATTTCCCTAAACCCTAAACCCCTAAACCCCTAAACCCTAAACCCTAAACCCTAAACTCCTAAACCCTGAACTCCCCACCTGTAGTTTCCTTTAACTAGGTAGACCCCGAGATTCTGAACCCCAGATGCCTGCATTTGCTCAGCCTGCTGTCCTCGGTTCAAGACCTACCGACTCCACGATCCAATGCAAGGCCTGAAAATTACTTAGAGATCCAGGGCTTATAAACCTTAAACCCTAAATAGGGCGGATCAAGCTTGCATGGGGTTTAGGGTTTAGTCCATACTAGTTTATCATTACGATTCCCTGTATATGGCGGGCCGAAATAAATCTCAACAGTGGTTCCTCGGGCTCCTTATCTAAAGCTCTACGATATTGTCACAGCACTCTAATCATTAAAGCCCTGAGACTTGCGCCGAGGGCAGTACAGCTCCCTCATTCCCCTTCTTATTCCCAGCAGTCCTGTGTGACCGCACACCTCACACCCCAGGCCTTGCATACCCGCAACTTTTGCAACATAGAAGCCGGAATTATCAATGTTGTTGGCTCTCTGTTTATGAGTTTCACTGGAAGTATATGATGATGTATCCCAAAATCCTAATCTAAGTATTAAGGCCCCGGCAATAGTGTGTCGGAGCCTCCGCCCATTAGGACACACAGAGATGCTCATGGGAAACATCAAGACAGCCCTTTTTCAGAGCCACCCGCAGCTGCGGTGAGCTGCAGGGCAGGAAGATGAGAAGAGCACCTTGCAGCTTGGGCACGGCTCTAGTCTGCATCCCTACAATGGTCAGTGGTCAAGCTGACTTGCGCAGGTCACAGGGAGACCCGCGATGTTGGACGGAACCTCTTTGGCAGCGGTTCCGAGAGCATTGCTGCCAAGATGAACTATCTTGGGATAGGATGCGGTGTGGCACGCCAGATTTCAGCTATATTACTTTCGCGAAGTGCTGTCAGGGCAAGGGTTTCTACAATTCTGCCGACAACTGCCTCCACAGCCAGTCACAGCATGGTGAGGAAAACTATATCATTGACACTTTTCAGTGGCAGAAGAAGCGCGACGGAGTTTATGTTGAGATGGGAGCATTCGATGGTATCACCTACTCCAACACACTGCGGCTGCATAGCTGTTTCGGGTGGAGAGGTCCGGGCTGCTCTTCAAAATCGGTTGAATTGGGGTTAAGGGTTCGGGGTTAGTTTACTGGATCACCATCTCACAAACTCTATAACTGTATAATAGTATAAAGTATAAAAAATCACCAAAGACATACTGGTGAGAGTGGGTCTCTATAGTAATAGTCCCTATGTTGAATACCTATAGTAGTCCTTAACTTCCGATTCCTTCCTCCACTCTTGTTGGAGCACCACTAATAAGACCTGGCTTGCATGAAACGATCCTCGAATCATGCAAGTCCCAAGGCCTTGATCCCAAGGCCCGAACTACCCCCNNCCCCCCCCCCCCCCCCCAGTTCATAGAAAATCACACTGAGATTTTTCTTCGCAGAAACACAAGCAGCATGAACGACTGCACCGCGCGAGCTGCAAGGTCAGTAGCAGGAAGACCAGACAAAGCAAAACTGCCGCTGTATCCTGACGATAATGAACGCGTGTATGTACTCGAAATGCTGAACTGACTGATCATTTTCACGAACATCTCGTGATAAGCTGTGCCAATTGACTGCCAATTAATTTTGACACCTTTGCTGGCATGAGTTAGTCAGCATTACTCTGGTCCGTAAACCGGTGCCACAATAAAGTAATCGTCCGACAGAGAAGTAGTAGTCTTACCAGAAACATATAGAAGCCGGACATTCTGTCCCGCAGGTATCCTGATCGAAGGCAGTCCGCGCAACTTTGCTCGACTTCAGCAGAACTGGCCGGCAGCACGCCCCATCAATGCTGTGGCTTACAACGGCGCCGTTTGTGCACCACCTCGAAACCATGTGACCTTCATTACGAACCAGTGCCTGGGTACTCCTTGGAGCCGTAGTTAATGCTATTCGTGTCTTGCATGTTGAGAGTATGTTAAGCTTCTAAAATTTCAGTGATGACACAGGGACGGCGCGATGGATGCTGATGTGGAGCACATGACGCAAGAGGTCAGGAACCACTACAACGATACCTTTTTCGGCGAAGTGGAGCGTATTCCTTGCAAGCCCATGTCCTCGTACTTGCGTGGCACAGACCACGTAGACTTTTTTGCCTTAGATGTGGAAGGATCGGAGCTTGAGGTCCTGCTGACCATGGACTTCACGGAAGTGACAGTGGAGGTTTGGGCTTTCCTTCTACTTACTTCACATATAGAATAGGGTTTTGGGGTTCCTTTAAAGGGTTCCTTAAAGGGTTCTTTCTATAAGGGCTACGTACCATAAAGGTTTAGGGTACAGGGGCCTTAGGGGCCCATT